CTGACCTGCTGATCTAGCAGTAGCCTGCAGTGCTGCATTTAACCACTGCGCCACCTTGGCTCTCATGGTATGTAACCATGTATTAGTTACATTTGAAGATTATTTCCAATAAATACCATTTGTCAGTGGTGGGATTCAACCAGTGTAACAACCAGTTTGCTGAGCGTTTGTTTTGTGTATGCGCCAAACACGTGTTCCATGTGCCCGTAGTCCATTTGAAAACTTACCTTCTACTGCAGCTCCAGTGCAAAACAGAGGCAATCCACTCTGCTATGCCTATCAGTTGAGCTTCAGAAAAGGGAATATAGGTTAGTATAGCACAGGGGTGAGCAGGTGGGCCCAGATGATTGTCGGAGCAAAGCAGTTTGCTCCCAGCTGATGTTGGAGCTACTGGTTCGCCCAAACCAGTCCGAACCAGTAGAATTCCACCCTGCCATTTGTAAGGTATAATAAATAAAATATCAACATACCTAAAAGGAATGTGCATAACCCAGAAGTCTTACTTTCTAAATTTTAATTTATGTTGACCAAATTGCTAATTAAAATTATTATTTAGAAATTTGACATATTATTTGCAGGAAATTTTTCATAGAAACTTTAACTAAAACCTTGTATCTGGGAGGACTTCTACAATGTTATACTGTGCAAGTTACAGAGAACATTAACTTGATAATATTTGCCTCATGTACTGTGTAATAAATTAAGATAGCTAATTAATCCTTTGTTAGATTTTAAATAGTATAATGATTCTGACCTTCTCCCTGTGTACAAAGGTTAAATACAGGATAAATATATCTTTTTTATTATTTACCAATAACTGAGCTATGTTACAGTGTGCTTTGGAAGTTCTGTATAAAAGAGTATGATTGAAACTACTTGGAATGTGCTTACTTACTGTTGTGATGAATTTTATTGATTTTAGTTTCTGGGAAAGAAGACAGTGAACCAAAATTTGTGCTGATTTAGCAAAGGCTAAAGTCTCTTTTGCTGTTATGCATTAATGAAAAACTACCATTCTGGATAATAATCTCAGAACATACCAAAATGAATATTTCTTGAAACTTCTCTAAACACTCTTTGATATTTATCATTAGTTATTTGATCTATATTTCTATGAAATATCCAGAATACATTTAATTATAAGCCAGGTTTCCTTTGCAAAAGCAACCAAATTTTTTCTACAGCTTGGAAACCAGAGTGGCTACATTCACAGAACACACAAAGCAAATAATCTGCATTGTGGTTTAGCAGGATATGTAAAGATATGACATTCCAACAAACATTGGACTTGCTTCATTGGCCCCATCTTTAATTTGTCAAGGTAATTGGCTAACTCAGAGGTGTCAAACTCATGGCCCACAGATCATATGCGTCATATGGGGCATATGCATCACAGGCTGGCCACGCCCACCCTTAGTTTAGCAAAGGGGGAAAAAGTCATGATATGTCATGTGACAATGGGACAACGTGAGTTTGACACCCCTGGGCTAACTGGATACAAAGTGAACTGTTATGTTGACAGTGTCACTAGCTACAGCTTAAAGGCATGATGCATAACTATTTTAAATAAAGTCTCAGAGTTTTTTTTT